CAATCACCTCTCCTCTCTTAAGCATCAGAGCACACGCTCTCCACCGTCCGATCCGCCATCGCATCTGTTCAGTCCTTCGTGCTTCGCGTGCGATCCTAAATAAATTGTATTGATGAGGTGGAATGATGACTATATAAATTTAACAGAACTTTGGACGAAAAATGGCGGAATGACCATTTTGATATGAGGTTAAAAATATATTACCGATTCGTTACAAATTAAAGATTTGTGTCCATTTTGTACTAAATGCAAATGTTTGTGATCATTTATGCTAATTACCTTACGACAACATTTTTCACACGGTTTTGTTATTAGTTGGGAGGTACCTTGACATTCCACGAGCTCCAGGCTAGTATTTGTCGTCATTCGTCGTCCTTTGTGTTTCTTAATGAAGTTAAAATATCTATGTCTCGTTGCGAACGTGTGATTTCTCGTTTAGGTTTTTCTAATTCTGACCAAGTCCTTCATCGGCTGGAGGCTTAGCTTTCTTGTGGAGTTCTACTATGTGTGGTGAAATTATCTATGCTTCTTCCATGTGTATAGTTTTCCGCTGGGATGTTTCTATCAATAAAAGCATAGTCTCAATTTCGGCAGTTGCAGAATCTTATACGTCCGTATAACCTCCCATATGTTATTTTTGGTGATTTAAATTCCCTTTTAACTATCGATGAAAAGCGAGGCAATGTGGTTTTTTATGCGCAAGCTATTGCTATGTTTCATGATTTTATTGACGACTTGGGTTTGGTAGACTTATGATTTTCAGGCCACCCTTTTACGGGATCGAACCACAATAATGGTTCCCGGTTAATTGAAACCAGATTGGATCGTTTTCTTTTCTCGCCCGAGGTTCTTAATATCTTCCCCGATTCCTCTGTCTTGCATCTCATTGATATCAGCTCCGATCATCGCATGATACTGTGGGCTCCTCATCGTCGTGCCCGTAAGAATAAACGCCTCTTCCGTTTTGACGGTCGATGGATTCATAATCCGGAAGCTAGATTGCTCATTTCTCATTATTGACATCAACCTGTTACGGGCTCGGCCATTTACAAGCTTCATACAAGACTGAAACACACTAGGCATGCACTTTTTCAATGGTCTTTGGGTGGGAGCTCCAATGCACGCTGATTGATCAATGATCTCAAAGGCGCTATTCATGCTTACCGTAATCTGCCGAATTCGGATTGGGATCACATTCAGTCACTTGAACGTGATCTTGCAAAGGCCTGGCACCAGGAGGAAGCTTTTTGACGTCAACGTTCCCGGGTTCAATGGCTTTAGGGTGGCGATAAAAAATCATCATATTTCCACCGGGTTACCCAAACGCGGCGTGCTCACAATTTTGTGTCCACGCTCCGTGCTGCTGATGGGACAGTTCATAGTGCTGAAGGTGCGAAAGGCAGTGAGGCGGTGGCCCACCTTTCTCATCTTTTCACTTCAGAACAGCAACCTGATGATATATCCGCGACGGTCAATGCTCTGCCTCTTCAGCCTCGTGTCACCTTCCGACATTAAGTGTGCCTTGTTCCAGATTGGTCCTTCGAAGGCCCCGGGATCTTATGGTTTCACCGCCCTATTTTTCCAGCATTTCTGGGACATTGTGGGTCACGACGTTTGTCTTGCGGTACAACAATTTTTCCATACTGGTCATCTGCTCCGATCTTTTAATCATACTTGGCTCACTCTGATTCCGAAGGTTCTGACCGTGGAAACTTGTGCTCAGCTGCGCCCTATTGGTCTTTGTCAGGTATTTTACAAGGTGAACGCCAAACTTCTTGCTAGTCGCTTGGGGTCGGTGTTGCCGGACGTTGTCTCCACTTTTCAAAGTGGGGTTATCAAAGACCGGTCAATCATCGATAACGTTATCATCAGCCAGGAAGTGATGAATTATCTAAAAAATAAACGAAGCGTCCGGGAACGCTTTATGGCCCTGAAGCCTGACATGGAAAAAGCTTACGACCGGATTGAGTGACCATACCTTTTTTCGAATCATGGCCAAGCTTGGCTTTGACGCTCGTTTGATTACACTCTTGAAAAATTGTTTGTCGACAACTTCCATTTCTGTCCTTCTGAATGGTTGTTCGTACGGGTATTTCTCTCCTTCGCGTGGGTTGCGTCAGGGTGATCCTCTTTCACCACTTCTATTTTGGAATTTGTACAGAGGGCTTCTCTGCTTTACTTTGTCAGGCCGTGGCGTCTCGTGCTCTCAAGGGGCTTAGATTTAATCACCATTGTCCAGTGTTATCGCATTTGTTCTTTGCCGACGATGCTTATTTGTTCATGCGTGTATCCCCAAATGGTTGTCACGCTTTGCTGGATCTCCTCCGCCGCTATGAATTCATGAGTGGTCAACGCGTCAACCTGTCTAAATCAGTCATGGTTTTCTCGCAGAACACCCTGGCTGCCGAGGCTACAATGTTTGGACAATTACTTCAAGTGGGCGCTATTGGGTGTGCTAACCGCTATCTGAGTTTACAAACTTTGATCTCCAGGTCTAAGCGGGAAACATTTCGGTATATTGAAGATGTCGTTTCCAAGAAACTTCAAGGTTGGAAACGCCGATGTCTCTCTTTGGGTGGTTTGGAAAATCTCATTAAATTCGTGGTCTCTGCTTTGCCGGTGTATGCAATGTCTTGTTTTTGTTTGCCCCAAGAAATTTGCCGCAATATCAATCGCTTGATTGCCCGTTTTTGGTGGAGCCAACAAGGAAATGAACGGTGTTTGCCTTGGTTTTCTTGGCGGGGTTTATGTAGGCCCGAATCTGAAGGAGGATTGGGCTTTCGTGATTTTGAGGCCTTCAATCAGGCTTTATTAACAAAACAGTGTTGGCGCATTCTCTCTGAGTCTGAATCCTTCGTTGCGCGTGTACTCAAAGGAAGATACTTCTCCAATACATCCTTCCTCTCCGTGTCTAGAGGTACAAATTCTTCATGGGCTTGGCAATCACTCCTTCATGGTCGATCCTTGCTTGTTCATGGATTGCGATTGAAAATTAGTTCTGGACAGTTGGTCGATGCTTTTGACGATCCCTGGGTACCGTCTTTGTAGAGTTTCCGCCCTCAATGCTTACCGATAGCTCCCGATACCACTCGCTATGTGTCATATTTTATCAATTCCAATACCCGATACTGGGACATGCACAAGTTGCGCATTTATTTTGAACCCTGCTCGGTGAACGCCATTACTGCTATCCCTCTCCCTCGGGTTTCGGATGCGGATCATTTTCGGTTAAGTCGGCATATCACTTGGCGATTTCTTTGTCTCCCAGACAGCCTATGGTTGCTCCAACGAAGAGCACTGCTTCTCCTTTAGATCCAGCTATTTTGACCAAATTATGGAAGTTTCCTATCACACTCCTAAACTGAGAATTTTCATTTGGCGGATCCTTCTTCGCATTCTGCCGGTTGGTGAGGATCTCCAACTGCGTGGTGTGGATTTGGTCAATTTGTGTCCTGGGTGTGCCTCGGAGGATGGTGAATCTCTCGAACATGTCCGGTGGCGATCTCTCTTCGGCAGTCTGTTGGTCTACAATTGCAGCTCAATTTCGCGTCAGAGTTCCATTTCTCCCTTCTATGGTGAACTCTCTTCTGAGACGGTGATGCTACTCTCATTACGAAATGGATCTTGTTTTGTTGGAGAGTGTGGAAAGGTCGTAATAACGTCGTCTTCCTCCCGCATGCTCAGTTCACAATACCAGTACTCCATCGCCAGTTTCTTGCTCATCAGGTGGATATCCAGATGGCTTCTTCGGTGGAAATCAATCCTCACCACAATGCCCGCCCTGCTCAGCTTCCCCTTCCTTGTCAATGCCCTACGCCTCTTCATGCCCAAGGAGTTCGTTTTGCGGTTGATGGTGCAACCAATTCTCCTCATGGTGGTTCTTTGGGAATTGTTGGCTATTATGACTCAAGGCCTTGCTCTGCTTTTGGGAGTTATTTGCCAGGGATAGCCGATCCTTTCTTGGTGGAATTACTCGCGTTTCGTGAGGCATTGTATTTGCTGCACCGTTGGCGATGGTTTTGGATTCTTATTCTCATCTCTGGTGATTCACAATTAGTTGTGACTCGCTTGAATGATCGATCCACCAGCGACGCCTATGGGGGTGTTATTTTGCGGGAGATCTACCTCCTCCTCCGCTTTTTTCCTGCTGTTAAATTTATTTTTACGCCTCGAGAAGCGAATCAGACAGCCCATTTTGTGGCGCGCAATGCCTTAAGTTATCCTGGCCTTTCTCCTACTTTACATGATTTTTCTTATCTGTTATGTCTCTGAGTCCTAGTGAGGATTTGCCGTAATTGTTGTGGCATCCCTCACCTATTACCTATGTCATCCGCAAGGATTGCTTGACAAAAAATAAAAAAATATGTAACTCAAGATGGGCAATCTACTAATGACGAACAGATGAAAATTTTCAATTCTTTTTATGAGTACTTACCCTAAGACTCCAATAATATTCTTTAGATAGTGCAAATCTTAAGGTTCTAACCCAATTTCTAGTTACTCATATCATATCTCAAACACTAGATGGCCAATTGGCAAAAAGCCAACATGCTTTCTTCCCCACCAACATGCCTTTACCTCTTCCACTGTTTTCCTCATTTCGATTTTGAAAATATTCATTTTTTATATAATTTTACCACAAAAAAAAAATGCTCTTGTTGATCTTTGCCCCAAATCTTCCTCCCTTGACTGCCCTAGGGGAAATTAGAAACTGAATCAACATATATTGCATGCAACATCTCCATAATTATTAGTAATGTTAATTATGGATCCGAGGCAAGAAACAAAAACAATAAAAGAAGAGAAATTGCGATCACAATAAGAATTAAGACATGTTCAATTATTTCTCACACATTCTGCATTTGTCTGGAAACATGGCACCTGCACTTCCCTTGTACTGGATTCAAACTGCAACATTCTGCTCTAGATTGAGATCATTTGAACCTTGCCCGTTGGATCACAGGAGGCATTTTACTAAGGCTATGCTGTGAAATCGTCCGACTCGCATGTGTCACCATACAGACATTCAAACACAAAAACAATGGGGAAAAGATGAAACCTTCAAGGTCTCTTACAGTTGCAGACTAATTACTCAGGTACCAAAAGTGACCCCAAAAAAAAAAGCTAGGCTGCAATTGGTTGTTCTCTGATTCCACGGCAGTGCTGGGGGTGATTCCTCATGGGAGATAAGAGATTTCTTAAAGCAGCCATGGAAAGGATTCTGAACTCTCGCAAGTCTTTGAGGAAAAAAACAAGGTGGGAAGAAAAGGCAAAGTTATGGTCTTTCCAGCCATCATCTGGATAGGCCGCAAAGATTGAAGCAGAGCAAAAGAGGATTAATTCCCCAAATGGAGGCAAAAGTAGCAGACTTTTTCAACACAAGATTCTGACAGAATGGACAGGAACCATACTAACCAATGTTAATGCATAGTGAGACACCAGATTGCTGGCACGAATTCGCTGTCTCTTTGATCTCCCCTGAACTATGTATTTAGATATTCTGGGTTGTTCCCAGTACTTTACCAACCAGGCTCGTTCTGCTTTGCTCAAGACCATGTTCATGTCTTCAGGGAACAATCCAAAGTTCTTTGCCGCAGCAAATGCAGCTTGCATTCCATCAACTGCTGTGCTCGCGATTCCATCTGCACAGCCCGCCCCTTCACCAACAGGGTAAAGCCATTTTAATGGTAGGCTCTCATAGGACTCTTCGCCAAGTGGAATCTGTACTGGAGAGCTGGTTCTTGTCTAACAAGGAAACGAGAGAGTCAACAGATCATAAATGTGAGTAACTAACTATGATGCAACAATAGGAAGAATACCACAGTGCAGAGGATAGATACCTTTACGCTATGTAGAAGCGCCTCCTCCGAAATGAATCCTAGTAACCGCAAAAGAAACACATAGTTCAGATTATTGACAAACTCAATTGCATAAGATTTGGCAGACACCAGAAAGTAAAAAAGAACAGTGGAGAGAAGTTGAACCTATTGGTTGAACATTGAGATCGAACGCTTCAATGCTTGTGTTATATGGGAAGGAAACAACTCATGGAGATTGGCTTCCTTGACTCCTAGCCGTTAGATTGATGATGGTAAAGGTATTCCTGGACAAAATGAGGCTTAATTAAGTTAATGAACAATTGAATGTCAAATATATAGCTTTTATTTTCCCTCCTCCGTGCACTTTAACTTGAAATTGAAGCGATTCCTTACAAATAAAAAGAACTTCAACTCCTTTTACAGTTCCAAACAAAGTCTTAGAGCAAAGAAACCAAGAGGCTACCAGATAACTTGTCGTCCAGAAAGTAACTCTCTGCACAGGCACCACAAAGTCTTGCTCTCCCATTACAGCCGCTCTTTGATTCAGCTCCCTCTGAAAAATCAGGACATTGTTGTGAACGAAAAGAATGAAAATCATTGTTGTAAGAAGCAAGTTATTCTAAATGTACTAAAGGAGTAAGGAATAGATTGTTTTATGCCTGAAACTCAACTCCTGGAAGGGGGCCATGGTATCTCAAGGCCTCAAAATATAGCTTTGAGACATTAACAACAAGAGCAGCATTCACCTACTTAGAAGCACCACGAGAAAATGACATATCATTGATGCAGATTGCAGAGTTCCTTAGGATTTGTGCTGGAAAGAACTACCTACAACCTCAATGTTGTCAGGCTTAAATACAAACCAATGTTTTCAATGCAATGTTGTTTTCTACAACCAAAGCATATCTATCCACCAGGACACATGCAGAACGAATAGTAACTGTGATCTGAGGGCACTGAATTTGAGGAAATGCCATCATTCGCTCTGCTGACGGCTCCCGCAACCTTGTAGTCAGCAACAAGTACTTTTTTCCATCCACTTTGAACCTCAGCGGCCAAACTAGAATACTACATAGGAAGTGTAAAGTTTGTTGCATAAGCATGTCAGCAAACACTCAAAATATGGCAATCACGAATTAGTTCATGAGAAACTATTTGCATCATGAGCCTGTATATTGTTGATCAGCAATTGAAGATGCTCGATCCGGAAACCAACCTGTTTAACCAAGCCGGTTACTCCTCAATGTGGAACAGTTTGGCAAATATCAATGATTTTGGATTGAGGTTCATGCACCAAAACAAGCACAAGCCACTTGCTCTCATCAGCCCAGTCAAATAAATCATTCACAGGTGGCTTCTCTATTGTAGATTACTGGCTACTATACTGGGTATTTTGTGTATTTTCATAACCATATGCTGTTTTTACCAATTCCATAAAAAAAAAGGAAAAAGCAAAGAGAAAAGGGAATTTACTGCAAAATCTTTGGGAACAGATCAACATTATGAGAAAGAAGCATCTGGTAGATATCCCTTGCAGAATGCCCCACAGCAAGAACCACTGCATTACATCCAAATCTCGCTGGTGGCGCTGGTTTCGAGAATCAGAAATTTGTACTCCCACAACACAATCTTTCTCTAGTATCAGATCATCTACCCTCCAAACTTGACAGAAACCTTTTTCACCATGAAAAGAAAGCCTAATTCAGAAAAAAGAAAAAAAAACCACAATAAAAAAACTTTTTTTCATCCTATCCAAAAACTTACTCCAAGCTCAAGTAGATGCTGCCTAAAGTGTCGTAGCAATGGGCAAGCCGATCAGTTCCTAAAGGGGGCTTCCCGTTGACTAATATGTTATTTTTTTATGAAACAAAACAACAGATGGTGAACCAGAGTTTTCATAGCCTGACATTAAAAGAAAACAGATGTGAGAGTTCATGCGATATGAACTAAAGCGGAACATGCAAATATCCAGAGGACGAGTTGTAATCCGGTTCATTAGAGGAATAAGTTCTCACAGCCAAGACACTATCGCTGTTCCTTCCTATTTTTGTCACCAGCTTCCCGTCACTCCAAGTACTTGCACCACCCTGCCATCCATAAGTTAATAGAAATAATAGAGCCCACCTGATATCACAGGAACAAGCAGATTGTGCAAGAAAAGGGGCAAAAGTAAGCAAGAATGAACCTCGCCAAAGCAAAAGTTGCTTTCAGATTCTAAGATCCAGCGAACGATCAAAGCACCAATGTCACGACCTGTTTGCTCAACGGGCTGACCTCTTTCCATTAAGGTCACATCTGCACCAAGCTCAGCAAGAACAAGAGAAGCAAACAAGCCAGAAGGACCACCACCAACAACTGCAATTCTTGCCTTTCTCTTCTGCTGGCACACTTGACCAAGCCTGAAGATCCATTACTGGAAACATTATTATCATCTCCACTTCCAGAAGATATCTGTACCTCCTCCCCTTTCCTAGCATCTCTTATTATACTAATCAGGTCCCCCGTTACTCGTCCTTGAGGGATATGTTCTATAAGTCAAACTCTCGGGTCTAAGTCAGGATCTGAAACCCTGATTACGAGGCTCAAAATCAACAAGTATACTGATATCTGTGTCAACTGTGTACACAAACTTGGGCTCCTCAAGTATCTGAAAAACAACGGATGAAACATGAACCACCTCCAATTCATAATGTCCATTCTTTATTCAAGCGACTTCCTAACAACTGAAAACGCTTCTGAGGCAACATGCAAGCGACCTGGAACAACAAGAGATGGCAAAGGCCGTCGATTCGATAGCAACCTAGTTCAGAGTTCAACTGCCCCAAATTTCTAGCAAAACCAAACAGGGGCGGAGGAGAAAATGGTAAAAGGAAATAGTTACCTGAAATGTGGTGGCTTTAGCGATTTCTCGGACTCGGAGCAACCCATCGGAGACACCAGTGAAGTCCTGGATGGGGACGGCGAGCTTGGGCAGCCGCCAGGAGGGTTTTCTTGCACTTCCCCCTCCGCTTCTTCGTGGCAGCGCTTGGTAAATCCGTAAGAGGAAAGGGTTCTAAATGTTGAGATGGGTAAGGATTGGAAGAGGGCCGACGGCGAGCTGGAGCGAGTTCGATTGAAGAAATGGCTTGGCTGGGACGGCATTTGATTGCTTTTGGGAATATGGTCAGAACACAGTTTGGTGCACGGCTCAAGCGGATAACGGTGATGAATTCAGTACAGATCATCTCCGATTCTACTACGAAAAGGAATGTATTTTGCTTCAAACTTCTTGTACCGCCACGACATTGCCACGTTCTGGTTCTGGATTCCGCATTGCTCCACAGAACAGATGGCACGGAATTTGGAAGTTCTGAATCTCTACAGCTGTCGTGGCATAACCAAGGTTCCAGAGCTATCTGAGTACTAGTATCTAGAGCAGTTAGATATAGAAAAATGTCGAGTAATTGCTGATCAGGTCCTGGATATTGGTGGCCTGAAGAATCTGAAGGTGCTTAAGCTCGGGTTCCCTGATATAACAAGCCTGGTCGGCCCCAGAAGAGAGAAGAAGAGCACACTTAACTGATTGTACAAGGAGCAAACAGTATCTAGAGCTCTGCTCTCGGGCAGTTTATATATCATCAACATCATTGATTCATCAAATCGTTTCTAACTAATTTCCAGGAGAACTAGTCTACTTATGTATTCAGTATCCATGTTGTTTACATTACAGGGATGATTGATTCATCATGTACAACTACAAGTGTGACTTTAAAAGCTACAATTTGTGGATATTTAGAATTGAGGCTCTTGTTTTAATGACACGCCAAAAGAGGCACTCAACTCCTTCCTCAATGCAGATATGATGCACTACAATGGATGTGGCCTACTAGTCTACTACATATATGATGTAGAGGAAGATAAGATCCCACGAGATCAATGGAGATAAACCAGTTAACAAAATTTCAGACCTTGGAACTGGTCTGTGCATCAAACCAGATAGAACGAATCAGTCCAAGACCCAACAGAAGGGACGGGACAGTTCACTGTTCACATACTATCACAAGTTTCCAACCTTGGAACTGTAATGAAATATGCAGCAAAACATGACATCCCAGCTGACATAATAACCCACTAATTATTATGCATCCAAAAACTGACAAGGAACAAACACACTGGGGGAGAAACGACCTGACAGAGCAACAAGAAGAAGAAAGAACGAAGCAAAGTGGCTGCTACTTTTCAGAGGAGGTGTTATGGGTAGGATTAGGTTACGAGTTAAGACCAGCTGCTGGGGACGACACTAACTACTACTAGTACTGCTGCTGGGGACGACACCAAATCATGGACCACATTCTTCTAAAACGATACCTAAAACCAGCCACATTCATCTAGCAAAGGGAAGTTGTCATTTACATAGTTACCTACCCCCATTTATTAGTTTCTTTCCGTTTTCAATCCCTTCACCAGAAAGACCAAAACATACAACAAGAGGAACCCAGTAACACCAACCCAGTAACAAAATCAGAACTACGAATCCCAGCCCCTTTGGGGACATCCGACAAAATTGGAACTATGAATCCCAACAGGGAGGCTGAACTCTTCCACATAAACCATCCATTCTTATAATCTTGGTTTCAGCTGTTAAAATGAAGTCTACTTTTTATTTACAAAAGAAGCACATTGATTCAACAATCTCTAGTCTTCTCTGCATCAAATGAAAAGTTTAACAGATTGCTGTAATGAATAGAGATACACAAATATCCCCCATTCCCCCTTATGACCTGCTTGACTAATAATAGCACAGCAAACATGGTCCTGGCAGGGCAGTGCTATGTATCTATCAGAAACCATTCTTTCTCCTAATGTCAGCTCTCAATCAGTGATTGCTGCAGGAAGTCAGGTTGTTTCGCTTGAGCTTATCTCCTACTTCTCGGCTGTAAATTTCCTTCAAATCTTTGTTAAAGAAGAAGAAACCAGGTAGTTCAAAACACTGAGAACTATAGATGAACTACCAGCACCACATCCAGTTCTCTTCCATCTGTCAAACTACTCTAACCTATGCCGGGGGTCCCAGCATTGGAAGAGGGGTTGGCCACTGAAGAACCTCATACAGTAAGACGTTGCTCCACTCGACGTTATCTTTATTCTCGGCTATTACTCTGAAGAAACCGGTGTCCATTTTGCACTCCATGACGAAGTTCTTCAAAGTAACATATGCAAGTCTTTCATCATGTGGATGGATAGATCTAAAGTGTAGCTCGTTAGGAGAATAGGATAGAGCCTCTCTCGCTGAGGTAGCCTCGCATAACATGTCCCCTTGTAGATTGACAATGTACTTTAGAATCCAACCCTTGCCATCATTACTGAAAACACGCAGTACCTTTTCCCAAACCTGGCCAACCCATAACGCTCCTCGGCACTCGCTCACGCCCTCAAAATCAGGCCACTTCCACGGGTCCAACTGGTAAACCGACCCCACAGGTAAATCATAGCGCTTCAAGTGAACCATACCACTGTCGAGTACAAGGAGGTCAACTGGATCCAGCATCCAGTGGAACTGCCCCTTGTAGTTGAAGAAGTTCCCCGGTATCACTCGAGGAACAAAACCAATTGGAAACTGGGTGCACATCTTTTTCCATTTTCCTGTGTCCGAAGAGAACACCTCCACCCACATCTTAGGTTGATCCACGGCCCAACGGGCCACTTTAAAACCAAAATTATTATTGATGGTTACTGAGTTACCATCATCGTCCAGGGTATAAAATGGATCACATAGAAAACCAACATTTGAATCTTCGTAAGTCCACTTGCTAGATAGAGGTATCTCGAGAAATTTCCTAGTGAGTGGATTGCAGACAGTGTATGCTGCACCATGTGATTTGCATGGTGAGCACAGGAGGAGGCCGTTGGAAGACCCCAAAACCATATTTCGCATCCGTCCAGGATCCATTTCGCGGAAGAAGGGGAGGAAATCCAGTGAGAGGCGCTCCTTGCAAATTCCATGGCCGGGAGATACTACAAGTAGCTCCCAATGCGTGCACTGGGCATATATCAATGTCTGATCCTTCTGACCTGAGATATCTTGCATCATCTTCGCGTGAATAAACTTCCTTTGGAAACTTAGATTATTCCGGCAAGAGAGCCACTCCTTGGAAACTGAAATGGAGCGAAATAAATCTCCCATCTCAGAGTGAAGCAAAATCTGCTCTATCAGATCGATATGAGGTGCGGGGAAAATGGACACCGTTTTTATATCTCCTCCTGCATTTCACAATCACATTTTAGCAAGTACACTTCAGCAGAATGAGATTTGAAATGTATAAGAGAAAAGTGTTCACATCGACACATACGGTGGGTTGATTTTGAGGCTATGGCAGAAATGACACGGTGGGTTGATTTTGAGGCTCTGGCAGAAATGACCTTGCCAACGGCCGAGAGAGACATGAACTGGGGTTCCTTCAACATTTCATCACCGACTTCAGTTTCCCCAACTGAGTTATATTCTGCCAAGTTTAAAAGCCAAAGGTGGCTCCTTGTATTCTCCCCTTGTACTACTGCTACTTCAGTTAAACTGCACATTGAGTAGTAGCACATACATGACTCTTCAAGCAACCTAAGGGATTAAATATGGATGTAAGTAACGAATGGCTCAATTCAGTACTTGCATACCAATGGGAATGGCCTCTTTGGTTATTGGCATGCTTCGAACTAAGCTTAAGTACATTATACGCTTTCTCAGTGCTAGAGACGCGAAACTCGACAGGCCCTGGGAATTCCTGATTTGGTCCATCAGCTTGCAACCTTCATCCAAGTAAGTCCAAGTAGTAATTCATATATGTTGAACCCCTTCAATAGATTGTAATATCCAAATGGCAGCAAGCAAACTATTTCTAATGTGAAGCATCATTTCAAAAGTTGAAGCATAGCATACCATTTCGTAGTTTCAGTGGAATTTCCAGTTAGAAGATCTCTTAAAGTCTCATTGTGAATCTCCAAGATGCTGATGAACAGCTCATGCTTTTTAGACCCTTTATGCTCTTCAGAAACGCGTAAGAGCTTGTCCAGACACCTGTAGTTCACTCCTCTATGTTCAGGTGTGCCCTCTATGGTATATGTATTCCCAGTTCCAGCTTGGCCATATGCTAATATGCATATATCATAGCCGTTCAGCACTGAAGTGGCAATGTCTTTGATCTTTCTACATACTAACTCTGCAAATCGGAAGATTGTGCACTAAGAGAGCTACAAGGACAACAATGTTTTGCTAAAAATATTGAGAGCAAGTGGTTGAACTATAGTAGAGCATGCTTACCTTGGTTGTCATCTGGTTTGAAGACATGCTCCAACTTGTACAAACTTTTCTTAGAATCAGAAAATATAATCTTGAGCTCATTATCTTGGCATGAGTCGAATTTAGCCACATTATAGCAACTTTTATCTGCCTCGGTCTGGTGTAGTGGTCTACAGCTGCAGATGACCCAGACATGCCCTTTTAGCTCCGAGTAAAGCCTCTTCTCTTGGGCAACCTTCTGCTTCTTCTTCTTAGGTCCAGATTCTTCACCTTCTATGATCAACATTTGGTATGCAGAACTTAGACTGAAGGGTTCTCAAAATTAAGCCAGTAAAATCAAGTTTCAGTTCAACCATGTACTCACCGAGAAATTCAGAATCCAAAACTCTAGGATTTGCAAAAAGATCGTGCAAAATCTCCAAGATTGAACGACCCCACTTGTATCCACTGGAAGAGCCTTCCTCCATTGAACTGGTGTCTTCCTACTCAATCTTGAAGCAATAAACCATACCACTTTCGTTCAAAGAAACCAGAGAAACACTACAGAATCTCAATTCAATGCAAGAAGAATAGAATAGAAAGCTGACGAACGAAAGAAAGTGGGGAGATCAAAGACAAACCTTTTTCGGGATTGTAGTGGGAGAACGAGCGCGCAAAGACAATGGTGGCGAGAGAGGAGAGGCAGAGCGAATTGGAGTCGCAGCGAGCTCTGAAGTCTGAACTCGGAGGGAAACGAAACGACGCAAAATTGGAAGTATGAGGCGGGGGAAAATTAGGAGCAACCAGGTTGTAGCTTGCCCTCCACGTGGGACACTACCATTGGTTCAATCTCGGGGGAAGGGCTAAACTATTGTTTTGCATAAATGAACTAGATTAATTTGACGAAATAAATTTAAAATGAATTTTTTTTAATATAAGAAATTAGCTTTCAATTTTGAATTATGTAGAAATAGGACTAATTTTAGCGTTTCGGAATTTATAAATAAAATTTCAAGTACTTTATTAATCGATTTTCTAAAAAAAGTACTTTACTCATTTATAATCGGTGGTGTCTTCGGTCCGTTCGCTATTTTGGATGCATTCAATTCACCCGTCTCATAATCGTCATTTTGACACGATGATTCATGTCAAAACAACGTCTATTGTCACTTGTGATATGATGAACAAGAAAACACATGAGTTTTGATGAGCCCAAGGTTGGGTCTCGAGTTTAAAGTCACGCAACTAGGACGTTTGTTTGGTGTTTGTGGTGGTTTCGGATTAAGAACCGGGAAGGTTTTTGGTGAAGGAGGGAACCAAGCTAGCAACTTCAACTCAAAGGGAAAGAGGCTGGATTGGGTAGACGAATACTACAAGATCAAGGATGGTGGAATTGATCTCGAAGTCTGCAAGTCGAGGACAACAATCCAAGACCAATTTCAAGCAATCGAGCTCAAGGAAACTCCTCGGAGTAGTTTATTTTCAATCAACTTAAAACGTCCGTTACAATCGATGAAAGAGGCTATTTATAGCCAAGAAACAATCTAACATAATCCTAATTTAAAAATGAAACCAATTCAAACGAAACAAGGAAAGGAATTCGAACATAACAAGGAAACTTGCAAACCAAGAAACAATCTTCTTCTCCAAGTAAACTGTCCAGGAAACAGCTATTCATACCATCTTCAAGCTCCTGGAACGTGATTTTCTGGATTGATTCAAGGTCAGCCAATTCCTTATCTAGGTTTAGAAAGTTTCATACTTTCATATCCAACCCGAAGCACCAATTGGTTACATCCCAAACTGCACGAATAGTGCTCCAAAGTTGGTACAAAAAACTATGTTTTTGCCTTGGCCAAATTCTGGCAGATTTCAGGTTGCAGGATAGGTTTTTCAATGCCTTGAAAAACGACATTCCTGGCTTCTTCTTGGCACCCCAAGTACTCCAACGTGTAGAGGAACAACTCAGCTTCAAAACAAGACCTTAACATTGAATTTTCAATTTTCCAAATGAGAGAACCAACCCTCCAAAGTAGGCTTCTCGGAACTGTTCCAATACTTGAACAATTTCCAGCTTCCTTCTTGTCAACTTGATCCGATCTTTGAGCGATTAATTGGAGCTTGTGAGATGATCGAATCGAGTTCATATCAAATTTGCACAAAGATCATTCAAAATTTATTTTGATTTGAATGTTTTGGAGTTTTGGGATTTAGGGTTAGGGTTTAACATTCACAATTTGGGTTTAGGGTTGGTGTTCAAAATTGAAGGTTTAGAGATTAAGGTAATGGATTGATTAGCTCTGATCTTATGTTATATCATCATATCAGACGAAGTATACCAATTAAAATCCAAAATTCAATGTTGTAAGACTACTTTTAGAGTTGAGTGCTTTGGATAACCTCATTTTTTTAGTGCACTGAAAAAGCCACCATTGAGATTATATTCAATTGTTAGAAAGATTTGCCAAAGGTAACATAGCCTAGCGGTGAAACCACTGGTTTGGTTGGCTCAAAAAGTTGGAGGTCTGAGTTCGATCCCCAGTGGCGTCGCTTGTGTGTTCCCGGAGGCATCCTTGGTACCGGAGACAAAGTCTCCCCGATGTTGGTAGTAGAACGCTGCGGTTAGTATGCAGGTGCCCCCAGGTTTAGTAGGCCCCGCTGTTACTAATATGGCATGTGGGGGTTGAGGTTCCTGGGTTAAAAAAAAATTGTTAGAAAAAATTTAGTGACTATATTTGAATTAGTATGGAAATTTAGTTAATAAAAAAATTGTCGTAGTTAAAGATATATAATATATTTGAAAGATTTTAATTGAATTCAATTTGAATGTGTTCCAAATATGAGATGTGAATTCAGTTATTTATAAATATTTAATATAACACTCCAAAAGTATAAACTCATCTAAAAATATATTTCGCACAATTTTTCCTAAACTTAAATAAATTCTTGATTTATTTGCTTCCACATGATTTTCTAAGTGGAATGAGTTATGCATCAACATAATTTTATTTGGTACAATTCATTTGGACGATAGATTATAACTGATCAATTTGACATTGTTTTGAGATAATTGGGCTAAATTGACTTGTTTGACATCATAAAATTTAGGTGGATTAATTTGATCTGATAAATTTCGAATTGACTCGTTTTGAAAAAATTACAATTGTCTAGAGAATGAGCAGGTAATTCGATTTGACTCATTTTATAAAGTGATACAATTGATCCGTTTCTAATTGGTCCGTCCAAATAAAACCTGAATCAATTTATTTGTCTATACCAGACTTGACTCATTTGGAATTAAGAATTTAAAGATAGATAAGTTGAACTTGAGCTATAACGTGGGAGAAAATAAGTTCAATATGCATATTGACGGTACACAAAGGAGATAAGTAGGTTTAATACTTTAAAATGACCCGAACTTTACATATATAGACTACTTTGACTGATGATTTCTGAAATTCTCGTCCTGGCCTAAACTGTGCACCATCTAGACTATTTTAGCCCGATCCATGAATTTCCGCCAAAATAGACAGTCAACTATGTTGACCATAAGTGAATCAACATTCTTTGCTGATATGGATGCCACGCAAACAATACAAACTAATAAAAAATTGGGTAAATACCTTAAGTTGTCCCGAACTTTACACAAATAGACTACTTTGGCATGTGGTTTGTGAAACGCCCATCATGACCTAAACTATGCACCATCTAAACTAATTTATCACGACCCATGAATTTTCATGAAATTAGACGGTCAACATCATCATACTTTCCTAACATTGATGCCATGTAGACAGAAAAATTAATAAAAATTCAATAATTTAATAAAAAATAAAAAATTATATTATGATTTTTTTCATAATTATATCAAATTCATCTTCTTCCCTCTTCTTCGGATCGGTGACAACTTGTTCCCAAGTCAGAATCTATAAAAGATCACAAAATAACGGAAAAAACTGTTATATATAAAATCATAAATATTAACAAATATAATTTAATAAAAATAATTATTAAGACAATAATGATTAAATAGTGATTTTTTGTAATAATCATTGATAGAGCAATTTCGGAGCTCGAAGCCCAATCTATGACCAAGATATATAACTAGCTCATGCCTCACACTCGAGTAGGGCCGTGCAATCGATTTTCGGTTAGCGGCTAACTGGTCAGTTATCCGGTAACAGAAAATCGGGATCAATGAAGGGTGGTCGGTGTTCGGAGGCTCAGAGAGGGGTGGGTTAGCCAAGTAACCGACGTAAAAAACCGTCTGTTACCCAGATAATCGAAACCTCTCTCTGAAACCTCCAAAACGACTCCGCATCACCCCGCCCAACCCTAATGCCCCTCTCCCTCTGCCCCCTGCATCTTCTCCCTCAATCGATCTCCCCTCCCGCCGCATGATCCACCACCCCAAACCAAGAAACAGAGAAACCTTCCCCCGGATAGCCGCTGCCCGACGCCACTATCGCTGACCCGGCCACCATTAATTCATACACACTTCTTCCTCTGCTGATTCTTGAACCCTATCTTCCCTTTTCTCCCTCTATCTCAAATGATGATCGAGACTCCTCTGCTCGACCCACCTCCTCCAGCAACCCGCCGGAAGCAATGCGGTCTTATACTCTCCTCTCTGCTCATTTTCTCAGTGAGTCTCCTAACATTGGCGAAAACCGGAGCTCATCAGTTTTGTGCAAAAACCGGAGCTCTATGAATTCACTCTCTCTCGTGTTTCTGCTCTTCTGAGGTGTGTTTAGAGGGTCTGAGACGTCTCCTATTTATAGGAGCAAAAAACCCAGAATATTCCCTCTTTCTTTGGGAATAAGTCACATTTTAATTAGGGAGATAATTACTCCCATAATTAAAATATAATCTATTAAGATAATTATTTCTAATTATCTCTATAATATTCTTTTTATTAATTATCCATCTTAATTTTGTATTATGGGGAAAATACTGGATAATTAATTAGGAATTTCATTATAGCTTTTGAAAGCTATTCATCCCAACAATCCTCCACTTGAATAGTTTTGAAACTATCTATGAGCATCAACAGTTCCATAAGATCGGGCATAAGCTAAGGTATCGCGAAGAATTGAACCTTAGCGTAGTGGTTACACTTCCGATTTCATAAGGGTGACTCGTAGACTTGAACCCTATCTCAGACAATGTAGCACACCGGATCTTTTCATTGACTGATATTCTCTCATAGGCCGTGCGTTTATGGCCATGCACGTTATCCTGATTTAGTGAACGCTCTAGCAACTTTGTGCCTCCAAAGTTCCATAGGGAGCGGCCCC